GCAACTACTTTTATTGAAACCATATTTAAAAGAAAAATATAGGCCATATTACGTAACGATATGAAGAACTATAATAGTACTTTATGAACAATAAACATTTTTGGTAGTTTCTTTTTGTCGGGGACCAGTACGTCGTGAAGGTGCTCCGACTAGAGCTTTGTACGGTCTGGTCTAGACCGGTCCGGTTCGGACCGGACCGGACGCTTATTACCAAAGTGTACATGGTCTCGGCACTAGGTATAAAATAAATCATTTTCATGTTCAAAATTTTATATTCAACCGATATTTTGATAACATAATTATTATTAATAATAAAATTATACATAGACAAATAAATAATATTCAATAATATTACATTTTAGCTGTGCTTGGTCATTTTACACAATAAATACGTATTTATATTTCTATTGCTTATAGGATATAATATCCAATTTCAAACACATTCTGAGATAATGTGTTTGACTGAAGTTGGTAGCCGTATGTTTGACATGTTTTTAGTGGCTCTTTTTCCGTAAGATAGATATGTGTATAGTATGTATGACTTATTCTGGGCGATTTAATACAATTGCATCTCTCTTCATTAAAGGGATTTAAAGATATTTTATTTTTTTGTTATTCTTTTGATTTAATTTAATTTAATTTTTTGTTCATTGATAACCATTCATTTTACCATTTATATTTAAATCGGTTGTAGATAATTTTGTCTTTGTCTGACTTTGATTTTTTAGTTTCTTGATTTGGGCTGTTTGATTTTATTTGGCTAGTATATCCACAAATAGAATTATACATAGACAATATGAATATGAATTTCTACAATTTATTATTACCAAATAATTGTTTTATACTTATGATAGACAATAAGTTACTAATAGTTAAAATGTAATTATCGTATTGGGCTTAGCTAATTTAAATAAACCTTCAGCTTTAGAATGTGTTTTTATCTATAGTATAATACAATAATTAGTAGAAATTATAAAATGAATAAATACAAACAATATAAATAATTAATTAATTGCTTAATTTGCATCAAATATTAAAATTATCACGTTATACTACGCTGCATATATTTTCGATTTAAATTTACACAATTGAGAAATAAGTCAGTAGCTCGAATAAAGGAAGTCAATAATTGTATTAATTATTAATTGTATGGAAATTTAAAAAATTCCGATAATTAATATTATTTATACCAATAAATTAGTTATATTTAAAATTTGTAAGTTCATGGTTTGTTTTTGTGACCATTCAATTAATAACAATATTTTTTTTTACGCGTACATGTAACATATTATACTTCTTTATGTATAATATCTCTAAACATCAGTTTATTTTTAATATCATAATTTAGGAATAATTGTATTTTATTTAGTTATATCAAACAACATGCAGGTTCCTAGCCCGAAGACTTAACTTCTGTCTTATCCAGACACATGTTGTGTGCACGCTTCTATGATTAAATGTTAATAGTAAATGTATCTCTTTATGTTAACACTAGTATCCACCATTTATGTTGTGTGTACGATTTTATTTGAGACTTTTAGTGAGCAATCGCATTCTTTATCGCTCATGATCAATTGAGGGATGGTATTATAAAACGTATTATGTCCAAGTTTCCAACGGGACAAGTATTTGTTAAAGCAATAATTGATATTATTTATATATTAGCTAATAAATGTTTCTTTGGACTTTTAGATTTTAGATAATTTTTAGATTAAGAGCAATCTCTAAGAACTTAAAAGTTAGGATGTACTTAACTTTCTTAAGGCCAATTGTCCTGTATGGAGCAGAAATATGACTTCTGAGAAAGACTGAAGAACGAAGGATAGCAGTGTTTGAGAGAAAAGTATTCAGGAAATATTATAGCGCATACATTGATGTTCTCACAAATTAATGGAGGAAATTATACAATGATGAACTGCAATCCCTTTTTCAGCGACCGAATATACTGAAAGAGATAAAAAAAAGAAGGCTGGTTTGGGCAGTACATGCCTGGAGGAAGCATGATTCACTAATAAGAAGAGTAATAGAGGAAAACCCAGTAGGAAGGAGACCTCTTAGAAGACCACGTTTAAGATGGGAGGATTGTATTAAGAGAGAAACTGAAACAGTAAAGCCGGAGAGTCATTGGCAGGAAGTAGCAGAAGATAGAGATAGATGACAGTATGTTTATCTAGAGGTATGGTCTTGATTGGCTGAAACCAAGGAAAAAGAAGAAAGAAGAAGATAATTTATTTTAATATAAATATACAAATGTACGGATAACTAACAATTAAGCATGACAAGTAGAAAAAGTCATTATTTTAAATAAACGTATCAGTATATTTTGTTTCAAAATATTTTATTAGTTGCCAATAGATATTAGTTGTTTTGAATAGCGTGGTGAAGTTTATTGATTGGCTGCCGACTGGCCAACTCCGGAAATTTTCCATTGAGCGAGATTTTAGCAATGTGGATTGTGGAGCGCTATGTTATAATTCTTGAAACTGTTGACATCAAAAACGTGACTCCTTTAAATAATTGCTCATATGGTTAGATATAAAAGTAATTAACTGAAATCCTAAAAAATATAAACGGATATTGTCCATGTTAAGGGGATTCAACGTAAATATTTTAGAGACGGCGTTATTCTTTAACGACATTATCAATATCCCCTCTCTTATCATGTAAAATTGTATGGTAATTATTCGAAATTTAAATATATGCTATGTCTGCTTTTAGAATATGGAGTGAAAAAAAATTAAAGATTAAATCATTTTACTGGTACTAATTAACTATTTTAATCTATTTACTGGCGGGTATGCTGCTGAATGCTAAATCTAAGGGTCTTGGTAATTTAATCATGTATCATATTTTCTTAAATGTTATATTTTAAAATGTGAATTTTCTTATTTTACAATACAATACACTATTACCGAAAATAATAACTGATTTGAAATTGTCTTCAAATCTTCATCTAATCATAATTAAACATATTAAAACATATAAAATAATAATTTAAACATGTAAAATTATATTCATATTTATTGCAATTATCTTTCCAATTAAAAATTTTCATCTTGTGAGGTGAACGAAAAAAATCGATCTTCTCGTAAACTGAATTAAAATACATATAGTCATTGTTCCGACCCTATTGTGCCTACATGGAAAAGCGCTGAAGACAAATATTACCACAAAGGCACTGAGCGAGAAAAGGACAAATTAACGTAGTCTACGGAAAATATATCGGGTCACATATGACCCGTTAGGTCAATGTTTCTCTTTGTTTCTCTTTTTTGTCACTCTTTAAAATCACGGAACACCGAACAATAATATTTTTTAATGCGAAATCCCTTAGAATATTATCTTCAAAAAAAGAAGATACACAAAACATGACGATAAATTGTAACATTAGCAATACTCTAAAATACAAAATAAATCAAAATGTAATTAAATTATTTATTTAGGAGATATCATAGCCAAGCGCGTCCACTGGATAAAATCTCACCCAGGGCAAGTTTAAAATTTTAAGGGCCAAAACAACGTGTATCTAAAAATATATGAGAACAAAATCAAATACCATAGAAATTGATGCTCGGGAGAATTTATAGTTTTAGGCGATATGCATATGTAAACATTATAAACTAATATATTTGTTCAAAATTATATATTTTAAATTATCTAGAAATATAATAAATTTTACTAAACGTCATAAATGTATCTCAATAAAATGATGTTACAATTAATATGTGTGGTGTTAAATTAACAATAGTTTTGAAATAAAAATTTCCAGTAGGAGCAATGGCCCCTTTGCCACCCTTTGTGGGGGGTATGATCATAGCATTCAAAAAGTAACGTTATATTTGATTTTAATAACAGGAAAAATAATAATAAAATTAAACCATGAATCATAATGATAATCATAATCATAATCAGATGGATGTGTTTGAATGTGACAGCATATTTTATGGAGTAATGAAAGTCTTAGTGTCGGCGTCAAATTCAACCGATTTCGATGTTTAATCTAGGTTGCCATGACTGCCGAGAAGCTACTTAAGTACATCGAAGAAAAAAGAAGAAAGACTTTCAATGCCTTTTTTACTTAACATTTCGTATTCGCATTGCACTGCACAACGTCGAGTCACTCGAACAAAACGCATAGTACCTACTATCGTAAGGCACGGTCGACGGTCGTATTGAAACAAAACCATCATGTGATCTGTTAGAATTACGCGAGAACGTACTAAATGTTCGTTATCGACGGTTGTTTTCTGACATTTCTTAAATTTAGTGTGGCCAGAATTTGCTATACCTACACTGGCACATCATATTTAATGATATTTTTTTTTTTTTATGTAACGCTCATATGGGAATAAAAATAAGTATATCCTTGTGTGATTTTTAATATTTATTAGCTAATACAAAGATAAATTATTATTTTATACAACTATACCGATTAGATAACTATAATATAATGATATTGCGAACAATATTATTATTAAATAATACAATATTAAATGTTATTATCTCTCAGGTTTTATTAAACGGGACAAACTGAATGGTCGGCCAGGACACGCCTTTAAAACTTGGACTGTTAAACCGGGACGAATGACAAGCCTATTTATATTGTACGCACTGTGGACTATACTCGTATATATATTTTTTAAAGTAAATTTCACAGTGTAATCGACTATTATGTATTATTAAAATATAATAATATTTAATAAATGTGCATGCCCGACACGACTTTTGCTCACTATCCACCTCTGATCTTCGGTTATTTTTTTTTAAGTTAATTTTTTTGAATATTTTTAAAAGAGTACTTTGATTTCGCAGAACCTTTAAGCGATCTCCTCCGGAACACAGTTTAAGAAACACTGCCATAGGTTTGTGACGTTCAGAAAACGCAACAACCGTCGTGTGCCTCACTCTAGGAATTCGATTACGAAGCTAACCAACGGCCATTTAGGAGACACTGAAAAATCGATTGTCTGATCAAAAACAATATTATCTCGACCTCGGCACCATGGTGTTATCAGTAGTCCTATATTGGCGTTGAAAACGTATCATTCGCGCAGGAAGATTACATCCCTGTCGACGAATCGTTCACGGGCGTTCGATTCGCCCGCACCGCGTTTGGTGTCCCGTAATTGACCGCACGTCCTGAAATCACGCACAATCGCCACGGCAACAACATGTACTGCCTCCAATGGCTGATACCTGTCCTGCTCATACCGAAACCGTTGAACCCCGCGCTGCTGCAGACGCATGTCATGTTCATGGTGCTTTACTTGACCGGGTTCTTCCTAGAGCGGAAACCGTGCACCATATGCAGCATAGTGTTTCTGGTAGCCGTGTTCCTGATATGTTACAGCGGCTACGGCAATTGTATATTCTTCAGCAGCAACTGCGATTCCGTGCAGTGTGACAACGGCTAAACGACCGCTGCTTACGTTCGACGACACCGCAAGAACCGACGCCGCGCCAATACCAAACTCAAACAGATACACCACTAGTATTTAGGAATTTTTTTATTCTCTATTTTTCATTTTTTTTATGAAATCAAATATACATTACAGTTGACCAACATTTAAATTAAGTCAACAACATGTACAACTCAAATGTTTTGCCACATTTCATCCATGTATCTTGTTACAAATGATTTTTGCCACTTTTTAATATTTGGTTTATTAAAATACAGACTTGTAAATACAATATTTTGTTATTCACTTTTTTTTTTTTTTTTTTAATAGCTAGTGTACCTAACTAACAGCAGATATTTTTAGTTTATTTTATTGGAATTAAATTCATATTAGTTTCATAATATTCAACTATGATTATAAGATTGATGTGTTGATTACTTTAATATAATCTCGTTTTTAACAAACTATGATATTTATGGTGTTTCATGAAATATAATTCACATTGTCATACTAATTTAATATTTTTAAATTCATGAAAAATATCTAAAAAAAAATGTTTAAACTGGTACATAGTCTTAATATGAAATAAAATATTTTAGAGAAATATCTAAAATAATAAGCATTTAAAATGTACAGTATCTTTACTTTATTTTAACATTAATATATTTTATTTCTAGGGTCATGCTAATATATTGTGCCATATGTCATACTTGTCAAATGATAGTGTTGGGTAGTAATGTAATGGAAAATAACGTGTTTCTGTAACACCATTACTTTTATAGTAATGCGTTACATAATTTCATTACAACTTTTACTATGTAACAATAATGTAATGTAAATTATTTTTTATAAGCAATTTATTTGATATAATGGGTTATAAATAGGTACCTATCCACAATCCAATAAATTTTTCAATAAAAATTTATTGATTCTGTATTATATTTAAAAATATAAAGATTATACTGACAAATGTATATATACAATTATTTTTCAATTTTAACTTAAAGTAATGTAGTTACTCTTTTCTTGAAAAGTAAAGTAATTTAATTACAACTTTATTTGAGTAATGTTAAACGTAATTTTATTACATTTAAGTAATGAAAATGAGTGAAGTAACTTATTACTTTTTTAAAGTAACTAACCCAACATTGTCAAATTAATAGTTCAAACCATTAAAATACACAGTTGTTAGAGAAACAGTGCATTTTACTTTCCTATTTATGTCTAGGACAATATATATATCCCTGGGCATATGTATCAGTGTGGATACTTGATAACATAGAGTAATATCTGATTTATTTTTTAATACTCAATAATGGTTTTTAGAAACTATTTATCTTAATGATTTTACCTGATCGTAAAATTTTATTTTATCAAAATAATATTGAATTTTAAATAAGAGAAAACCTTAGTTTCTAACTCTATTACCATAAATTTTTTTTCCCCCGATTAACTAGCCTCTGCTCAATAAAAACATTTAAAATTATTATTTAGGTAAATAAAACATTAATTTTTGTGTATAATTATTAGAACATTTTATACTTTATTTATCTTCATAGGCATACTTATTTAAACAAAATTTTAATTTATATTTAAGTTTAATAATATTATTATGTTTATTTAAGAATTATTATAATAACAAATAAAGATCTATAGAACTTCTTGAAAACATTGAGAATATAAAAAAAAAAAATGTTTTTAATTTTATGTATAAATGTGATTATTATTATATTGTATTATAATTAACATTTAAATGTCAAATTGGTAATAATATTGTTAAAATCTCAAAAAAAAAAATATGAAGAATAAGATACTCATAATTGTACCTATACAATTTTAGATTTAGATAATAATTTTAAATCTTGCAATTTAAATAAGTATAGCATACTGAGTACATTAAGGGTCTAAGTATAAAAATTAAGTTTTCCTAGTAATTAAATAACATTTCAAGACTCATTTAATAAAGAAGTTGTTTGATAAATTTATTATACTACAAAAATCAATGTTTTTTAAATTTTTCATTTTCATGTTTATGTTTCAATAAAAAGCCGCCCATTAATACATGGATTATGGTCATGATGGTTTTATATTCAAGGTCAAGCCTGGAGTAAAGGGAGGCAGAAAGGCAGAGGAGGCCATGGCCCCAGGCCCACGATTGATATCAAACAATAGTAGGCTCCTGGTGGATAGTAGGTTTTTTTCGTTTTTTTAACTCTTTTTTTTTTTAGCACGTATAAAAAACAAGTATAAAATAGTATATAGTTTTATGGTTTTGTGTTTAGAGATTAATGTTTTAGAGGTAATTAATACTGATAATATAATTAAAGGATTTGCTTCCCCAAAAAAAAAGAAAAAATTATTTATATAAATAACATTTTTATTGTTTTTATTAAAAAAAAACAAGAAATAAATTTATAAATTAGAATATAATTTTGTTTTTGTCTCTGAAATATATTTATGTATGGGTCATTAATATTTTAATTATGGTTACAGCCCCCTAAAATTGTTTTGCTCCGGGCCCCAAATTATCATAGTCCGAGCTTGTTCAAGATAAAAGGCTAGATATCCAAATAATAAAATAAGCTATCTTATATAATAATTTAGAAGCTTTGCTAGATTAAAATCTATTTATATTTAAAACATTTAAAATTGGATTATTTTTTATTTTATAATTAACTTAAAGTAAAATTCTTTTAAATCTTATAGTCCTCATAAGTGTAACTGTATTTTGCAAGGAAGAGTAATTTAATTTGATTTATCATGCAATTTTTAGGTACGTAGGTATATCTCAAAAAGTAAGTACCCAAGTTTTTATTTTATTGTGAGTGCCAAAAATTATAAAACTAAATACATGTATTTTGGACGCATAATATTATTAGTAAATGGCGTAGGGAAAGTGGCACCCATCGCCCAATGTACGACAGTAAATTGCAGTAGCCCTTCCTTGGCCTTAATTGGCTGGGTTAGTCTGGTCCTCCAGGTTGGGGGCTTAGCACAGAGTTGACAGCTCTGTCTTTTAAAAAATTTTATTGTAATATTACCAACATAAAATAAGCCCAAGATACAGTCACTGGAGGATGCTTTAAATCTAATTATAGCTCTCAAAAACGCCGTAGCAAAAATAGGATTACAGATTAATGTTGATAAAACCAAAATTTTGGAGATTCTCTATAGTGATCCACCACAAAACGAATTTGATTCAATAGCTTTCGAAAAAGTGGAAGAATTCCAATATTTAGGAGCGCTACTTAGTAAAAAAACAATTGGTCAAGGGTGATAAGTGTGAGGATAGCAAAGGCAGAAAAAGCCTATTTTGCACTATCAACATTTTTCGAGTTTAAGGCGCTGTCTAAGCAGACAAAATTAAGATTATATACGGCAATAATAAGACCTACTCTCACTTATGGTTATGAAGTATGGACAACAACAAGTGTGACGAAAAGAAGACTTAGAACCTTCGAAAACAAAATATGGAGAATGATATGTGGACCAGTTCGTGATGCAAGAACAAATTAGTGAAGAAGAAAGTTCAATAAGGAACTACAGGAAGAACTGGGCTTAGCACTAGTTACTAGCTATAAAAAAGGATAAAGATTACAGTGGTTTGAACATATGAGAAAAAGCGAAGAAGAAACCATTAAGGCAGTGATAGAATGGAAACCAGAAAGGAAGAGACCTTGAGGCAGACCAAGGAAGAGATGGCTTGACGTAATAGAAGATGATCTAAAAGCTGTGGGAGTACAAGAATGGAAGGAAATGTGAAGAATATTATTAGTAAAGGTCTTGTGGATTAACACAATTAAATAAAATAAAATAACAATGTTTTTAATATTAGTAAATATACATAAACAATAACAACTTTAATGAATTAATGAAAAAATGGAATAGAGAGACTTTATAATAGTTATTATCACAATATTAATAGTAGGAACAATGATAATTTAGTAAAAAATGTGGCGAAAAAGTGACGGAATAATCTACCGCTACTCTACGCACTGGAAAAGTGTTTATTACATACATAAATAATACATATTTTTAAAAAAAACTAAACATGTTGTTAGCATTTAAATTAAATAAACGCTCGGTCAGGAATATAGGTGTATATTAAACAGAATATAGCTATATATATATAAAAGGTAAAAAGAATAATAAGTTGATCAGCGTCGGTTGCTGCGGAACAGTCACAAATACGTCTGATCACTCGGCTGATTCCGGAAAAAGTGAAAATGCCGACCCGCACGCCGTGCTCGGCGTGCCGGAGCAAAAAGGGGGGAAGGGCTGTGGTACGGTGTGACCAATCTGGACCACACAGTGCCACGGCCTTTACTATAATTAAATATATTAACATTAACCGCTAACAATGTTTTGAGAACAGGTTAAGTCTAAAGTAAGAACCTACCTATTATTCTCAAAATTTAAGTTTTTACTTGGATTTCGAAGAAGTTTCGAAAATACCTAATAATATAAATTAACGATATAAATTAAAATTAGTGAAGTAAGTGGATTCCATTAAATTTATTCTAAAGAAATTAAATTATCTATACCTGACATTTTTGGGTAAGAATACAACTCATTTTATTAAAGCAGTGATGTACACACATCCCTAACACAACAGTTTGGACTCCTCGCAAAAATAAAAAATGAGCTCCTAAAATATTGTTTAGATATATTATTAAAACTTTAATTAAAATGTTGTTATGATACGATAAAAAATAACAATGTTTATTTAATATTACACAATTATTACTTAATGTATAAATAACTAAATTGTATTGAATTATTTTATTTAAATTTTTGCGATCTTCTAGCATATTTCTGGGTAAATTTGTCAATTAACATGTTTGTATCTAAAATGCGCATTCTCTCGTTTTCAATACTCAATACCCTTAAATCTAATAAACTTTTTTGTGCCATAGGTATTTCTAAAAATAATTGTTAATTAGCTTTAAATTAGAGAACGAACGTTTTGCTGTAGCTGATATTACTGGTAGGTATAATAAGAAAAACTTAAAACGATGGCTACTTACAGAACACTTGGTAATATGCAACTATTTTGAACAATCAATAATTCAACTGATTCTTTGACGCTAGAAACTTCTTTTTTATTTTTAAATAGCTCCCTTCTGAATGAAAGTATTTGCTGTACAGTAATTTAATAATTCAATAAATAGACTGTTATATTATTATGTTATATTTTACATATAAGTGAGGTAAGAATTTATACAAAATGTAGTTTTTAGTTTTTATTATTTATTATATATATATATATATATATATATTATATACCTACATCGTATTTGTTTTAA